AAAAAACGTGCAAAGTATATTGTCAGACATTAATCTTTTTATAATGCTTAAAAATAACAAACATTGTAGGAAATGTAATAAATTATTTTTACAAGATTTCAAAATTAATGTTTTAATATTGTAATTATTTTAATATTTAAATTTATTTATAGACCTCATATAATTAGTGTTTTAATTAAATTAAACTTATATTTTTACATTATTAATTTTTTACATTTCCTACCTGACGGAAGAAACCACCACCTTCTCGCGGTTTCCATTGAGCAACAATATATACGTTACATATTGAAAAAAAATTCAATTTAAAAAAGTATTTTTTTTAATAATCAATATTAAAACCATTAAAAATGCTTATTTTTATTTGCAAGTTTATTTTTTAAATAAAAATACTTAAAAATAACGTTTATGTATGAAATAAAATAACATACATATTAGCCAAAAGTGGAAACATTAACAATGTTTATTTTTAAGCATATAATTATTTTTTGTATAATTTAAATGCGAAAGAATACATAATTATTAACGGTAATCAATCATGCTCTAGAATCATTTTATTTCTACATTTTCTTATATTTTTCTTCGTAGAGACTAAAAATTATCATTATGATAATGCCAGATTGAAAGAAAAATTGGTATGTTGAAATAAAAGTCTTATTTGCATCGTTGAAATTGCTGACCGTTATACTTTAATAATTTAAAACTTATTTCATAATTGAACCAAATGCGAGTAATTATTGCATCGCAAAACATTAAACAGATTATAATTTTTACTACAACTTTGTTACAAAAAATTTAGTAATTAATCTTATAAAAAACATACAAATTTCAAACTACAGTAATACATCAATTATTGCAGACTAACTAATTCTTCTTACAAATTATTTTGCACTTCTAGATTCGATTTATATGGAATATGATATATAGATAATTGGAAGTATATTAAAAATTGTCTTATTTAAAAAAAGGACAAATAACGAGATGTTTTTCTTATTTTTATTTGGGATCGGCAACGTGGTTAAATTTCATTTTCTATTCACAAATTTACATACATATACAGGGTGGACCATTTTAATCCATCCAGTCGAATATCTCGAAAATCAAGCCCGGGAGAAAAAAATTTTTCAGACAAAAGTTGTTTGGTTTCCATAAAATGGTACCATTGGTTTGACCTTGAAAAATTATTTGAAAGTCACATGAAAGTCACCTCAATTTTTTTAAAAGGCGTCCCCTATTTTTTATTATATATTCTTGTAGCTGGCCTCGAGAGCTTTCCAAAACACTATAATCAAATGTTTCTTCATTGAATACTTTTCGAGTTATAAAGCTCCAAAGTTGCAATTTAAAAAAATTCAAAATCATTCGATCGTTTGGATGTTGTTGAATCGCAATTCGCGGCATACAGGATGCGGATAGGAACAGACAGGATTC